ACATTTACCAGCTGTATTGGGAACTCATTTGAAAATTTATGGAGGGAGGACAATTGGAATCTATCTATGTTATTTACTTGCTGACTCACTTGCAAATGTTAATTAATAGGCTGGCTCGTTAACGCCACAGGGGGCATCACCGTTGTCGCTTGATTCAGAGATAGAGGTTGGGACGCTGATAAGGCATGTGCAGATGACATTCCTGTAGATAGCACTGGGGCAATTTGTTCATTTGGCTGGCTTGGAGTTAACGTCCCGGGGGACACCACTGTTGTAGCTTGATTCAGAGGTAGAGTTTGGGATGCTGCAGCTGTGCGTGTATCTAGATTCTGTTGTTGCATCAGTATTTGTTTAGCTAGTTCAGCGTAATTACTCGAGACCTGATTTGCTACTTGATTGACAGCCAGCCTCGGTTCAAGAGTTACAAATTGTTGAATGGCTACCCGAGAGCCAGCGGTCGGTACTCCTATGCCGTTATTCTGAGGCAGGGGTGGTACAAATGTCAATGTTTCTAACACTGCGCTCCCCGAGGACTGAATCCTCCTTCTTTTTCTCGGTGCTTTTCCGGCTTGCTTTGGCGGCCTTGTTCCTGAAAAACAATACTAAAATCATGTAATAATGATATAATCGTGATTATAATGTTTACCTGTTTACCCAGCATTCACTCTATATATCTTGTTGCCTTGCGATATGTGCAAATAAATGAAAACTTGATTTTAACTTAACACTGGGTTACGCAACAACAACTTCTAAGTGACGCACACAGTGCAATAGCAATTAAACTTCCTCAAACAATAATTAGCAATAAAACAATATAGATCTTAACAGTTCAATGTTTATCCCGAGGTAAATACCATTTATATTAGCACAGTTTAAGAAGTACATACTCGGGCGCTTACAGCATCGGAAAAATGACCGACGATGCCGAGAAACTTGATAGACAAAAACTAAACTTAACACTGGGTAACGCATCAACAACTACTAAGTGAAGCACACAGTGCAATAGCAATTAAACTTCCTCAAACAATTATTAGCAATAAAACAATATAGATCTTATCAGTTCAATGTTTATCCCGAGGTAAATACCATTCATATTAGCACAGTTTAGAAACTTGATAGACAAAAACCATTTTTTTTAAAATCAAGTGCGACTGGTAAATAACGTGTATAAAGACTACAATTCTGTATTATTATTCAATACGTGGATAGATAGGTACATAACAACTATGAACCCAAACTCCCACACAATAAGTACATATATGCGGTCTACTCTGTACCAATGTTAAACATGGGTAGGCACAGATAAACTTTGCTCCTAAACTCCCATACAATGAGTACATATACATATATACAGATAAACTTTGCACCTACTCCCATACAATGAGTACATATATGTTACCAACCATGGGTAGGCACAGATAAACTTTGCACCTAAACTCCCATACAATAGTACATATAAAGCCTACTTGTACATTGTTCACCATGGGTAGGCACATATACCTTGCGGCCATACAATAGTACATATATGCGGCCTACTCTACCAATTGTTCACCATGGGTAGGCACAGATAAACTTTGCACCTAAACTCCCATACAATGAGTACATATATGCGGCCTACTCTGTACCATTGTTCACCATGGGTAGGCACAGATAAACTTTGCACCTAAACTCCCATACAATGAGTACATATATGCGGCCTACTCTGTACCATTGTTCACCATGGGTAGGAACAGATAAACTTTGCACCTAGACTCCCATACAATGAGTACATATATGCGACCTACTCTGTACTATTGTTAAACGCGTGGGCAGGTTCATATATTGACTTTGTACCTCTACTTCCAATTGATAAGTACATAAGGCTTAAATTTCGTACCAATTTTAACGAATAGTCAATGATAATCAGATAGAATATATACTTTGACTTCTAGCTTCCTACATATATTGTACAAAAGAATAAACAATAAAGAAAACGAGATAATGCAAACAATGTCCAGGTAAATAACTGCTACATAAGACGAAACCATTGTCATTATGAGCCATATCTCGTCAGAAACAAATACACATATATGCGGCCTACTCTGTACTATTGCTAACAACGTGGGTGGGTTCATATATAAATTCATACCTCTACTTCCACACGATAAGTACATTAGGCCAAAATTATTTATCGAATCAATAATAAACAAACTTGTGAACTAAACAAAAACTCTGTACCATAGTTCCATACAAACTATTTATCGAGATTATATAAATATGAGAAACTTATTCATATGGTACATATAAATCCGTATAACCATGTCTAAATGAATTATTACTACATAAGACCGAAACTATTGTCATTATGATAACCGAACAAAAGTGCAAATTCTATAATTTCCACAGAAACAAACTAAACAAAGCTGCGTGCATAGTTATTAATATTTTGCAATTATATAAATGGCTAGACAATGAAATTCATATCCTTGCTTTTAATAAACAGAGTTTGCTGAAAGTTTTACCTAATATGACCTTTCCTATTCATAGCCTCCTCAAACCATACACAACACATTGTAAAATAAAATAATTAAGAATGCTACACTGGTCTTATAATTCAGACGATTGAATATCAACATTCCGTATACATCCACACAACATCCACATGGGTTGGTCGTGCAAGGGGGTGCAGCACAGATGTACACCAACTGGACTTGATTGCTCAACTTCATCCTGAAACCTCTGTGGCTCCAAAAGTGTATCGCTGACAAAGACGTCGTCATGATCTCCAGCTACGTATTCATTTTCCAAAAAACGCCATCCTGCAGATACTGCCAGTGATGAATATTATCACAACTTCTCGCCAAACAAATCAGTGTCTCCATTGATACATAGTCGTTCAGTTATAAATTCACATTGTATTTTTACAAATGGAAGATAACTATATTTGCCGAAAAAAAAAAAACATATATAGTTCAATAATCACACGCATTATGTGGGTGTATGAGAATCTCTCTCCTTCAATTAACGAAATAATGCTAGTTTAAAACACAACACAAAACTAATCAAGTCCAGTCATCAGAACAATATACTCCACATGGGCATTGTAATATCTACACGTGTGAATAACCCGCGCACGTCCACCAAAAACTTTGGGCAACACCGTCGGTTAAGTAAACAATAAAATAAACTCAAACAGCACAAATTGTGACATAATTCGACAGAATGATGGAATGAGAAAGCACGTCTCCTGGCTGACTATAAGATTAACAAATCACAAAAAGTTGTAATTCTCTTCAAAATAGACGTGCTTCATGTTAGCGAAGGTGAGCGCGCGAGTATGAATGACTCGCTGAGCTGACCACGTGACGGTACACCTTCCATTATAATTAATCCAACAGGCAAGGCGTGGATCTGAGAGTTTTTACAATTTACCAACCTAAATGTTTTCGGGAAACTCCTTACAAATTATCGCATTAAATACATAAATACAATTATTATTCTAATAATTGTTGTTTGAAAACAATTCAAACAACTTCTAGGAGAACATTGATTTCAAAGAAATTTTGATACACACCACTTTGTTCACTAGTGCATTGTCAATAATGTACGGTGGATATGTATAACTGAAAGGAAATATTAACTCCGCCTTAGCGTCTTTTTCATGTTTAGTGTTTCCAGGGGTTTATGATTTATTCAAAATCTAAGTTTATGTTGCGTCTATGATTTATGTGATGAATCGCTCTCTGTCATCTTCAAGACCTGAAAAATGCCACCGTGAACGAATTTCGGGAGGTAAATAGTTTTTGTCGTGTCTGTCTGTCTGTCTGTCTAGCTGTCTGTCTGTCTCTCTGTCTGTCTGTCTCTGTCTGTCTGATAGTTCACAAAAACTTAAACCTTGCACATAACTTTTGATTTAGTGGAGCTATTACTTTCATGCTTCGCATGTGTATTCTTTGTGACAAGAACTTTTTTATGGTGCCACATAATTTGACCTTTTTAACTTGATCGTGGACTTTGACCTACTTTAACACAAAAATTCCAAACTTTTACTTTGGCGATATCTTTTGAACATTTGTGTTCCCCATATATGTATTCTTTGTGGTAAAACCTTTCATTGGATACCAACATTATTGACCTTTTACCTTGACGTTGGAGTTTCAGTACTTATGAAAAACATATCCTTGGCCATAACTTTTGAACGCTAATTGCCAGTGCTCTCCTAGTTCACATATGTAATCTTTGTGAAAAGACCCTTCATTGGATAAAGAACTTTGACCCTTTGACCTTGACCTTGGAGTTTGACCAACTCTATAGAAAAACCTTGGCCATAACTTTTGAAGTGTTAGGACTAGGGCTTCCATACTTCACATATGTATTTTTTTTGTGCCAAGACCTTTCATTTGATACAAATTACCTTAAGCTTGACCTTATGACCTATGAGATTTCCGTACTAATGAAAAAAAACTTTAACCTTGACATACTGTAAATTTTCACAGTTCTATTTTCAGTGAGAATACCCTACCTTGGGTACCAATATTTTTAATTTGCATTTAAGAAAAGTTTACTCGTCGCTAGGTTGTCATACGGGGGCATCAGCGTTTCACAAATACATCTTGATTAAAATTAATCTTACACGTTTATTACACTATCAAATAACATAAATTCTTAAGAACTCTTGAAAATTTCAACGATGCATTGAATTTTAATGATTTATATCTCAGTGCATGCCTTCTGTCAAATTGAAGTAAACATTTAAGTAATTTAAGGTACATGTATTCTCAACTTAAAGATCTGAATCTTTCGATTTTTTAAAATTCACAGGTCAATAAAGGACCTTATCAAACCTTGTTCTTTGATGCACATAATTGCTTACGTTTTCTTTTTTTTTTAGCTGATATTTTCTCGAGTTATAACAAAGGTTTGATTATATATTTAGTTAATAACGCAAAAGATTTATATTCAAATAAATATAATGTGTTTTATAATTGTGATTTTAAATTCATTCATGAATTAACTTTCAGATGCTTAAGGCGATGGTGTATGAAAATTTCGTACATTTTAAAGACAGATTTAGTCTCGACTTTTCAAAAACGAAAGATAAACCATACTTCTTTATTGGAGCAAGCTCAACTGGTAAAACAGCTGTTCTGGAACTTATCAGAAGATGTATGAAGTCTAAACTCAACACATCGTTGACAAATCGATTTGATGTCACCAAAACGGCATATGCTTTCTGTCAATTTGAAGTAAAAGATGACGAAAACATTTTTGAACCTGATACCTTAACTGGGTATATAATTGAAGGCAAAAATTTTTGGCCAATTGAAGATCAGGCTACAGCCCCGCAGGAGGAAAAGATTGAGAAAATGGAAGATTTGCAGAGAGAAGAAGCCGATGAAAAAGATGGTGGGGATAATTTAGATGATATATAACACGAACAGTTTAAGATAAAACGTGTCATCTTTATTCTTATTTCAAAATTACCTTTAATAGATTTTATTATCAAATAGTTATGTCTAATGTTCGATAAAAATATTAAGATCATTTTAAAAGACTGTAAATGTTATTTTAATTTGCAATGGTACTAATTTTTTATCAAGATTTTTAAAATTTTTCCCTGAAGTATTTTATCTTGATAAGTTCCAGGAAATATGATTTTTAAGTGTCTTATGTACATATCAATTAATGACTCATTCATATTGTCTTTAAAGTCATTTATTTTAAATAATGATATTCTGTTATCATATTTAATTGCTTCATAGGAAGTGAAAGTCCTTCAAAAAAGTCTAAAAGCTCAATCAAGGAAGATGAAGATAAACAGGGTGAAGAAAGAGAGGAAACAAATGAAGAAGATATAGATGAGAAAGAAATACGCAGTACAGTTAAGGCAACATTTTCCATAAAAAGTCACGGAATCCGATACATATAATGTTTAACAGTTTTATTTTTTAGCAAGACACTCTAGTTAAAATAGCTATTTGTTATCTTGAAGAGTATGTCCATCGCTTTACACATCGGTATTTTTTGACATCATGTGACCCCCTGAAGTCACGTGGGCTCCGATTTTTGGTCAAAAAATGAGATGTCAAATTTAACCAAAAAGTGCAAGGGCAAGGCAAACAAAAAATTAACTGCACAATGTTTTATGTTGTCTCTATGTATCTATATTTTCTCAGAAGTGATGCTCATTCAGTTAGTTTTCCGATATAATTAAGTTATTCAGCTAAAACAGACAGTAATGTATGAAAAATGGATATTTTCCTAATTTCATCGCGAATTATAAATTAACTAAAGGATTACAAAGAAATGAGCATCACTTTTTGAAAACTATACAATAAAATAAATAATTTAAAATAAAAACCTACTTTTTAGATTGTCGCCTTGCCCTTGCACTTTTTGATTAAAAATTAAAATCTTGGAAGAGTCAATCTAATTTTAGTTTTCAAACGCATCATTGACCCAGCATGGGAGATAACTCTTGAGTACTTGATACAGTTTGTTTACCTCATAAATTTTAAATAAATATACATGCGGACAGGGCTGGACTCTTTTTTTTTTTTTTACTAAATCAAACGGTATGCATAAAAATCCTTGATATTTCTTTCTTTTCTGTGTATTCGTTCTCCATACATTGTACATTTAATGTCTTTCAAACCTCCCGCATTTCCTCAAAGATGTGTATATACATGTAGTATTACACACAAATAGGTCTAAATATTGCCGATATATTTATGTAGAACACAAATGATTAATTAAAATATAGCCTTCATTAATAATTAATTATATATCTATTCCCCTCTCTCACTCCTGTACGCATAGGTGTCGGAACCGGGGGGGAGGGGGGGCTGAGCCTCCCTGCTTATTTGCAAATTATAAACATAATGTAGGCATTGGAATTTACCTTTTTCTTTTGGTTTAGCCGCCCCCTTTTAAATTAGCTCTCCTTTCATTTTGCTTCCGACGCCTATAGTACACACACTTGTGTTATTTTTTTTTTCTTTCTGCATACAAGATCATGTTCTACGATGTTCTACGATCACTTTCAGTCAGACCGCTTATTGTTAATTAAGGGATATAAACTAAGTTATAAGTTTTAGGAACTAATTATAAAGGATTGGGGTATACTCCTGTATTTTGTAAACTGACAGCCATTTTATTTTGAGGTTGAGGGGCTGGCAGATTTTAGAAATAAATACTTACAGATCTGTGATCTCCCCCTTCCTCGAATCAGATTTTTTTTTTTTACAATTTTTTTTTTTTTTGCATGGTAGACTTTTCAATGAAGAGGAAAATAAATAATAAATTATCTGTCCTTCATCTTATAGATCAGAAATAAACATTAATCTGTCCTGCATTGACATGGAAAATATTAATGAAAAAAAAATCTGACTTGGAAAAACTTGCCTCCCCCCCCCCTTCCCTCAGAATTTAATGGTGGTCCCCTATCCCATTTTGAATCAATTATGGGGATCTCTGGTCTCCTGTTTTTGGTAATATTATTGAAAAATAAATGAACACAATGCACATGCTGACATTAGTACCCTCTACACAAATAGTATGCCAAATTTTCAAATCTTAATGGCCTTTTCAACACCTGTACAGTTAATATATGAAAAAGTCAAATTATTATTTATCTAGAAAATTTATTTAATAAACATTTCTTTTCAAATCCAAAGACAGACTGTAGGAATGCTGGGCAGGTGCAAATTATTTCCATCACTTCATGTTCTTGTGGATAAAATGAATTCTGAAAATATGAAAAAATCAGGAAATACCATTATTAAAAGTAATTTGTGTTTTAAAAAATGAAATAAAAAAATTCATTGAAACATTTAACATAGAATGCATAATAATACATGTTTTCAATTCTTCTGTTAGTTTTATTATCAAAACTCTGTATGGTTTATAGCTAATATTGAGCATACCATTTTCCTTGAATGATGGATTAACTTGCTGCCTGAATGAATCCATTTGTCCAACATTTGGAAATAGCTAGGCCTACAACACAATATACATGTAATATATATGCAGTTATATGCTATGAGATTACTAAATATACATTGTAGAATAAAATGGCATTACATTTGACAAAACAAATTATGCTACATGATTGTATACTGTAGTGAATTTATGTTATTCATATAAATGGAAAAAATGTGTTACAAAACTTCTCTGGGAAAGTGAAACCTCTGACATTTACAAAAGTTATTGAGAGAATATTTTCTAAAAAAAAAAAAAAAAAAAATTCTGAGTTTCTCCTTTACCAAAATGAAAAAAAAAAACAAAACAAAATGTAAAGCACTTGCAAACTTTAAAAATGTGAAATGCTTTAGAAGTACATGTATACATACCCTGTGGAGAAATGATGCATTTTTTATTTATTCATTCTTTAAGCCTGAAACACCTGACAGCTACAATGATAAAAGTATTATATAAATATTTTTAATGTACATGTAATCTAAACAAAAAAGGAATATTTTTTTTTCATTAATTTAGAAAATTACAACCATAGATCTGATGTGGGGCTTCTATGTTTTCAACACAAGATACTGATATTTTTTTTAATTGTGTAGCATATTTGTATGTCAAAAGACATCTGAGTCATTGCTTGTTTAGGCCTAGTCACTTGTGAATCATTGACTGAAACAATGAGAACATTTCAATGACATTTAATTTAGTTTAAATTTGTGTTACTGATGACCTCCATTATTACACATATTGTCTCAAAGAAAATGCGCTCATTGATAGGAACTCAGTACATATTCAGTGCAATTAATTTTTAATAATTCTAAAAAGTGTGCAACTTAGTAGGGGGGGGGGGGGTACACACAAGACACTGGATTACTGTTTTTCACTGACTTTGATAATACATTTAAATAAACATGGACACACTCGGGTTTTTTAGGTTAACAAAAGCATGTCTACATATTGTAGATCTACACATGTACCTACATATGCGTATACATACCTGGCCTGGATCGAATTGCAGTGCAGTGATGGATCTGCGGAGCTGGTGCAATCGTCTCAGTTTTCTGCTATTTTCCGAAATAATGTCCTCATACTCTCGCAAAAGGGAGAAGCAATGCCTTGTCTCTTATTTTATCCCTATTTTCTTTAAAGATTGTGTGGTTATTGCATTTAAATCCACTGCAAATCTCAGCTGATGTCGCCACGTTTTTAGATGTAAACAACATTCCGTGTCACCGAGTGCAAGCGCTTGGCTGAAGCCGAATGCAGACAAACGACACATTAAAAAGAGAATTAATTTGAAGACATGCTATTTTATGTACAAGAAAATCAATAATTTTTTTCTATTTAAACATGAAGATATTGTTGTTTATTACAAATTCTTGCAAATATCGGTAAATAGTTATTTTGAGCACCATTTCCTTATATGGATCAATCAGGGCGGAGCAACTGTCATGACGTCAGACCTCATTATGACTTCATTACCATATTTTTTCCATGTGTTGCCTTAACTGTACTGCGTACCGGACGGAGATGTCATCTTTCACAAAATCATTATCTATAAATCCTTTAGAGGTGCTGTGAGAGTTCGGAGTAAAACATTTTTTAAACATGGAGAAAAGGTTATTGACTCGAAGAAAAATGTTAAGATCCCTACAGATGGTAAGCTTAAAGTTTTGAACGATGCTAAAAATTTGAAATTGATGGGACTTGAGATAAATCTAGAATTTGTTGAAGATGTATTGGAGAAGATAAAAAACAAACAGTTAAAAGCAGAAACCTATAAACGATATCCAAAGCTATGGGACAAAATTAGCGAAACATATGTAGGCATCCTCTCCATGAGAGGTGTTGGCACATTTCAGTGGACAAGAAGCATATTCATAGAAGAAAATTACAAAGGAAAAAACTACACGACTGTCTGTGAACAAGCTGAGATCATTAACGATCTTTTAGAGAGTCCGTCCATTGACTCTGACGACGAAAAAGAAGCTTTTCGGTTCATAACAAGTCCATGCACCTCTGAGTTTGTTAAAAGTGAAAATGAGATTTTAATAAAGCAAGGTGAAAACAAAGAGTTCCCTTTATTGAAAACTTCTGTTGGGGTTGTTGAGGCTAAACAGTTTTCGCTTGTAATCTCAGATAAAAGGTTCAAGACGATTTGTTATGAGGAGCCAGACAGAGGTATGCATCCACAAATGATCGAGCGCATGAAAGAGGTGCTGCTTCAAAAGTGTAAAGGAAAAACTGTAATTATTGTTACTCATAGTCCAGCATTTATCAATTCCATATCTATAAAGAATACGTTCGTTTTCTTCAGAAAAAATAACTCTGAAAACTGTGCATTTGGTTTAACTTCACTAGTCAGCGAAAGAATCAGACCAAAAGTTTCACAGATATGTGAAGACGAAGATTTGAAAAAACTGTTATTTTCTTCACGAATTCTGCTTGTTGAAGGTAAATCAGATAAAATAGTTGTTGATGCAATTTTAAATCATTTCTGCAAATCAAGCATCCAAAAGAAAGACGCATCAAATTTTAAGCCACCAGATTATTCAACTCAGAGGAAGCAAGAACGCTTTAGATGTTCATGATGTTTGCAAGGAAATACATCTACCCTGTAGTATTCTTCGAGATCGAGACGCGCGAGTTGATGTGTACGGCGATCTCATTGAAGGCGTAAAAGAATTGCAAGGGTTTGGTGAATTTAAAGAAAAGCCTATAGGAGAATTCATGGCAGACGAAAAGGGATTCAAAAAACTATGTGAGGATTTAGAGGAACGTGATGAATTCATATGGAAACATGGCGATCTAGAGGATTTTCTTTTAAGCGAAAAACTTCATCGTCCAGAAATATTGCGTATCTTGGAAGTAAACGAAAAAGAAAACAGCAGAAGAAAAGATATTAAATCTGCTATAAAAGGAAAATTAAAGAAGGGACTTTCACAAGAAAAATCTGAA